TATAAATAGTATTGTGTGTGTGTGTGTGTGTGTGTGTGTGTGCGTGTGTGTGTATTCTCTCTTATATAATTTATATATAATTATATAATTATATATACTATATGTATATACCATATATATTATATATAATTATAATTATATAATATATAGCTATATAGTTATATAGTTATGTAATTATATAACTACATATTTATATACAGAGATGTTACTCATATGATTATATACAAAATGGATTGAAATTCGTAATACAATCGTAAAGAGAAATATTTTCTCTCTTCAATTCAAGATAAATCAAAATAAACTTTTTTCAAACTCAGTTTTAAAAAAAGAGTGAAGCATTATTCAAATACGCCGATACAGACTACTGAATATCTGTACTTGTTTATTATTAGTTGACTTTTAAGATAAACAATTGAAATATTTTATTTCTTAAACATATTTATTAGAGATGTTGAAAATCAAATTTTCATTTAAAAAAAATCGTAAGTGAACATAATTCTATCAATATTTATGCAGAAATTAAATAATTATCGAAATTTGTTCTATCATTTTAATTAATTTTGAGTCATACAATCTCTCTCCTCTCGATCGAATTTCAACCACTGTGTTATATAATTATATATATAATTTTTGTTCCTTAGCGAACACGAATAACTTGATTTATGCAAATTTGACTTATGCAAATTTTATAGCGCAGTATATAGAATATGTAAAATTTATCTCTACGCTATACTATTTACACTACCAAATTTAATTTGCATCTGCTGAGAACTTTATAAAGAGCAATGAGCAAATCTCATTCAGGTTTACGAAAAAAGTATCAATGAGGATTCTATCAAGTTCTACTTTTTACTAAACAATATGAAATTGAAATCTCTCACTCCGACATGGAAGGAGGGGGCGGTGGAGGCGGCAGAGGTGGCGGCCCACTCGGCAGGGGAGGAGGCGATGGTGGCGGTTGAAGAGGCGGTGGAGGTAACAATTGCGTATCCTCCTGCCGGGTGGACCCAGCCGATTGAGGGTGTTGTATCATATTCTGATTCTGATAGAGGTGATTCGGGAGCAACGACGGCGGTGGCACCGACGTGTTGATGGCGCCATCCGGCGTTATTATCAAATTACTTCCCGCCGAGTACATCGGATACTGAGACTGCTGCTGGAATTGTTGATAGTACTGTTGATAAACAGGATCGTACATGTACCCGGCGGGCGTATTAAACATCGACGTCGGATAATTAGCGTAAAAATAAGATTCCGTGCCTTGTTCAGCATGGCCAGTTCCCCTCGCGTATCCGCCGACATCACTGTGAACGGTCGAGGGATGATGGGACTGCTGGGAATGAAAGGGGACCTGATGATGTTGATGGCCGCGGCCACCGCGGCCACCGCGGCCGTTACCGTAAATCTCCCGCTGGTAGTGACCACCAGCTAGCGGTCCGCGCTGACCGGCAACTGCGTGATGTGGTGGTGGACCGCGACCGCCGGGATGCTGACGGGCGCCTCTACCACGTACCTTGTTATTGCTGCCGGAGTTATAGTGTCTGCCATTCTGCCGTTCTCCTGGTCGATGACTCTGTCCGTAACCCATAGTGGGTATCACCAGCGACTGCTTCTTTGTAGATGGGAGGCCCGAACTGTCGCCAGTCATCTCGACGCGCTCACGTTTCCGATTCGTCGTTTCATTTGCGGATAATTCGGAGGAGACCTGCATGTGCGAGGATCCACTCGAACCATTCGCTGATGATGATGATGATGCCGACGGCGGTGCCGTCGCTGCGGAACTTCTCGAGATGCCGTCGGTACGTATTTTAATCTTTAGCGGAGCCTGCATCATCGGTGGCTGCGCTGGTGAGGAACTAGGCACGCTATCGGTGCCTTTGAGCCGTTCTTTGGGGATCTTGATTTTTAGACCTGTACTCTGCGGCGATATGTTTTTGTCGGACAAGCCTCCGCCGACTACGGTTGTTGATACTTCCGTGCTCAGGTTCAGCTTGTCCTTGGGAATCGTAATCTTGATGGGTGCTGCTGCCGGCGTTTCTTCGCTTTTTTCCTTGTCTTTTTTCTCACGATGTTTCTCTTTATCCTTGTCTTTGTGCTTATGTTTATGTTTCTCCTTACTTTTCTCTTTGTCTTTATGTTTATGTTTTTCTTTCTTTTTCTTTTTCTCACTCTTATGGTGCTCCGATCTTTTCTCTTCAATCGGAGGAACAATCGATACTGTAGAAATCGATGCTGCGGCTATTGGTGCCGGCAGTTCTATGGTGCTATTAGTTGGCATCGTCATTGACACGTTATCAGAGAGAACGCTGATGTCGACTGTCGAGGCAATCGATGTAAAATTATCGCTCATTATTGATAAACACTGACTCGTCACTGGCAACTGCTCGACGATCAACGAATGCTGAATAGACTGTAGCTGATGATGTTGTTGCTGGTGTATATGTTCCTGAGATTCTATTTTTATCTGCTGAGGTTGTATTTGTTGAGGTTGTATATGTTGTTGCAATCCCTGCAACAGCGATGGCATCGGCGCCAATGGTTCCTGGAGCAATGCGCTTATACTCTGCGCAGATTTTATCGGCGACGTGTACTCGAGCTTCGTCTGTGAGTGGGAATGCAATGATTCTGGGGCTCTATGTCCCGGCTCCTTCTTTACGTAATCAAGGAGCTCCCTTTTTATTCGCTGTTCCGGCAACTCTTGTTTGATTACGTTGAGGTCCATACCATTTGTCAGTGCGCTCATATTCATTGTCGAGCCTTTGTGCTGCGCGATCGCGTTGTAACGAGACTGATCCGATTCAAACGGTTTGATGAGTTCTGGTGGTTTCAAATCGTTAATGACGGATGACGCACTGCTGTTTCTGCTATTCGACGGATTGTCACGTATTGGTTGGATCAGATCGGGCACACGACCAAGCATCTTCATCGCCTCCAAACTGGATGGATCCTCTAGCTTTATCTCTTGTTTTATTTTCACAGACGGATCCTCCAGCTTTATCTCTTGCTTTATTTTCACAGACTGTTCACTCTCACCGATACTCGAAGTACGGATTCTTTTATGTGTGGTTGGCCCACTGTCGTTGGAGGCTATTCGTTTCATTGTTAATGAGTCTTGCAGAGTCGGGGAGCTCGCAAACGGTGATACGCGTTCCTTCACCTTCGTAGCTGCGAAAGGTGGAGTCTTCTGCTTTGATTTAGGCCTCACGCTTTGCGCGTGTGATTCTTTGGGAGTGATTGATGTCTCTGGACTGAAAAGTGATTTGTGCTTGCCAGGTGGTGTGTGCAGATTACTCTGCTGAGCGTCCGCGGTGTTTCTTTCAGCAAAGTCCTCATGCGCAATAGATCGCGGTCGTTTCTCTGTCTTTATATCGTCTACATTGTTCAACGTACTTAAGCAAGACTGGGAACTGCCGTTTTTGATAGTATCTTTCAGAATCTGGGATACACCCTGCGCGGTATGTTGATTATATATCTGCGTCTTGAGAGACGTTGATTTTTGCGATGATGAAGTGCTCGGTGACGTACCCTGCGGGAGCACGTTCTGATTGGTAGTCGGCGTATGCTTTATATCGCCGACAAACGAGCTGCTCTGTGATTTATCTTGCTGCTGATTATACTTCGCATGGTGCGCTTGTTTTTGCTGCGCATTCATCAGATACAGCACATCCGTCTGCTTCGGCGGCGGCAACGGCTTCTCAATCAGCTTCCGTACTTCCTCGCATCTCTGTTCCAAAGTCTCCGCTTTCCGGCGTTGATTTTCAATCCTATTCATATCTGCGTACTTGGCGGACTTAAGTCTTGGATCCTCTCCTCGATATAATCTTTTATCGTGCGCTTGATGCTTGCTATCGAGCGCATTCAGTCTGTGTCCGTGATTGTTGGTGCTCATTTTCTCCTGCAAACTTCCATGTGCCGAGGACACGGAATCCGGCATAGCACTATCCGGCCTATGAGAAGCGGACTCGGAGGAACTATCCAAATTGGCATGAGAGTGCGAAGAGTGCGTTATACCGACGCTCGCACTGGCTACATTGGCATTGTGCTCCCTCGGCAATCGTCTATTGGGGTCGCGATTAGGTTGACCACTGCTTGAATGTCTTTGCGGAACTGGTTGACCAACTTTTATGTCCTGACGATGATGATGATTATGATGGAGACCAGTGCTTTTTTGTACGGATGGTATTTGGTGCTTGCTTGGTATACTCGCGTTCGATACTTGTTTATGATGATGAGATGAATGATGGGATTTATTAGGATCAGCGTTATGACATCCAATCGCAGCGACAGTCTTTTCACGTTCTAGACGTTCGCGTTCTAGACGCTCTCGTTCTTTTTTCTCGCGGTATTCTCTGTAATCTATCGTGACTGATCTCGATATTGGCGGTTGTCCCGCGATGGTACCAGCTTTCTTCTCATCTTGTTTCTCTTGTTGAGTATGATGAGATCGACTTGAATGAGCAGTAACAGCAGTAATGACGGCGGCAGAAGTGGCAGGGGCACTGTCCATCCCATGATGAGAGCGACTCGAGTGGGCGGCGACGGAAGTGACGGAAGCAGTAGCGATGTCCGTCGAGTGATGAGAACGACTCGAATGAGCGACAGCACCATCAGTTGTATGATGAGATCGATTCGAATGAGCAGCAGCAGCGGTAATGGAGACGGAAGCGGTACCGTCCGTCGCGTGATGCGAGCGGCTCGAATGGGCGGCGGCGGCGGCAGGAGCACCTGCGGTGCCTTCCGCCGCGTGATGCGAACGGCTCGAGTGAGCGACGGCGGCACCTTCCGCCGCGTGATGGGAGCGATTTAAATGGGCGACAACGGCAGCGACAGCATTATCCGCCGAGGTGGCTGGAGATTGTATTCTACGAGGCTCGGTATCCTACAAAAAATAAGGAAACGGAGTTAAAAGTGATCTACGGATTAAATCAAAGAATAAAAAAAGCAGAAATGAAAAAAGCAGCTTACTTGGCGCGCGTACAGAACTTACAGTACTTACAAATGGCGAATTTGAGAGACTCGGAGGATGAATGCTCGGACTCTGATTCGCAGAGATGCTCATAATTTTTCTTTTCAATCTCGATGGACATTTGTCAAATATATGAAGAAACTCGTCTGTGAGCTCTTGAAGTAGTTCCGCAGTTACGGTTCTATCTACATACCAGAACCATTGTCTCCCTTCAGTGCTTTGTGGTATCTGTGCATGAAAAAAACAAGCGATCATTAAAAGCATATCAATATATCATACAACTTGAGAGGAATCGAAATGGAGACGATCAATAAAGGTAAATGCAACATCGATTATTCTATAATTTTTATTGTTTGTTTATGCATTTCGCACTTATGCCAATGTTTATGAATTGTATATTTTTCTTACCTCCCAATTAGACCATCTACACGCCAGATGTATACAAAAACAGGCAACAACTGTTGGTTTATACTGCAGACACATTGTAGTTAAATGTAGACTGCAAAAGAAAATAAATCATATGAAAAAAATTTGCATGGTATTGGTCAAGCCTGATAAAATATAGTTATGGACAAAATCATTATCTAATAAACACTTAAATGTGAATAGAAGCGTATAAGTATATATAAATACATAAATAACATATAAATAACATAAAAATTTATTGAACAAAAATAGCGATTTGATATTATGTGGAAACATATGGAATAACAATTATTATTATTATATTAAATTATATCTATGTTATCACAGAGACACAATTTTTATGCATAATTTATTCTATATTTTGGAGATATCTACGAAGAGTTTGTGGACTAAGTGTTTACATAATGACAGAATTTCTCAGAAAATAAAAAATTCTAATAATTAATAATAGAATGTAGAAGAATTGAATACACACCTGTTGGATGCCATGAAGTATGATGTTTGAGCTAAATCCTTGCTTGCTAGAAGCAGGAAGATTCCTTATCGAAATAGCAATCTTATGATATATTATGAGCCTCTAGTAGAATAATTGTTCAATGAATGATCAGTGAGTACTTAGTTGTGATTGGTATACTTTTAGATTTATTTGAATACAAACAAAAAAAATGTTCCAATCAAGATAAAGTGCTTAATGAGCGCTTATTGAGCAGTTTCGCTACTAGATGCATCAATAATATAACCTAACCTATATACTTACCTTTTACTAATTGACAACATCTTACAACGTGTGTGTGCGGATGGTCAATTGCAACGTCGAATCCTAATGTTTGTAAGAGAACGTTCTCATTGAATACTAAATCTTGCGCCTGCTCCAGAAATGACTGCAAGAACATGACATATTATAGAAGTGTCACATAGTAGGATATAGCAAAGCAATAAAAAAAAAATTCCATCCTTTGCGTGATTGCTTTCTTAAAATAAAATTTACCTCCGATCTACTATCAGGTGGAGGTTGGTCTCTGTGAAGACACATATATGCCATTTTAATAACATGTTCCAATTTTCGTGGTTGCTCTTCTACCTTCGCTGCTAGAAAAAGAGCAGCCACTGCAATAGCATTTCTGTGGAAATGCGTCAGTGAATGGAATACGTAGAATCTGTGCATGTAGACTATGGCTGTGTTGATGCATAACTGTGATCTGATTTTTTGTTCATTAAGGAAAAAATTTTTTTGATCTCTTAAAGACACAGAAATTAAAATTATATAGTTGTGGGTCTTATTATAAATCTATCTTCACACATTGATCCATGGAATGTTTGGGATTAATTAAGGATAAGGAATGCGTTCTCCCTCATATACATTCATTATCACATTAAGTACATAATATTTATATCATAATATTCTTAATGAACATATTGCTTCAAGAAAGTATTTTTGAAAACTATGATAACTCTGATAACTGTAATTATCATTTTAAGTATTATTTCTTTCAACATTACGCAACGAAGAGAGATATTTGTGCTTTATAATGTTAATTTTATACAAAAAGGAGAAATTGTAAATGATTCCTATCAGGATATGATTATAAAACATTTGGCAAAATATTTTCAAGCGTTCTATTATACAGAATACTTTGTAGCAATATTTTTCTCATTTTTGTGTAAAATCATATAATACACATCACATTGAGCGATGACAAGGTATTTTGATAACAATATTCAAATAATCTACATTATATAGAAGATAAGAATCATCTGATAAAATTTAAGAAAAATTTACAGCTATATATATATATATGTGTGTGTGTGTGTGTGTGTGTGTGTGTGTGTGACACACACACACACACACACACACAACAAAGTAACTACTAAAACTTACCCAAAACTAAACCTTAAAATTTTTTTTTAATAAATAGTAGTTTAGCTATTAGTTAATGTATGTATTGTTATACTAGTACACACACACACACACACACACACATATATATATATATCCTTATGGACACTCTATCTGCAGTGTTCTATAATATAAACATATAAAAAAAAAACACAGACTTGCATATTTGAGATGGACTTGTCACTTGACAGATTAAGTGAGAAAGCCTTTTCCAATTTTTTAAAAGGTATAAAAAAAAATAAAAAATTTCAGACTATATCATTACTCTTGTAAAGAAATTTGATATTATTAACTTAAATGGTGAGACTAGAAAATAGAGAGGTATAGTTTTATATATAAAATAATTATTTTTTTTTACCAAGTGCATACAGCTATGGAGAAATTGACTCAATGAATCAACACCAAGTTGTCTTCCTGCTTAACAACAATCTTAGTTTATGAGAATATTGGAATTTCATATGAAATATATACATTATTCATATTATTGTCGAAAGGAAAAAACACAAAAGTCATGGTGACAAAAATATTGATATATTATGACAAATATCTTAATTGAAATATAACAAGAAAAGTGCTTTCTAATGTGTTAACAAAAGAAATGAGCACTGAATTCCTGTATATTGCAAAAGTTATGAATAAAATTACAAATATAAGATAAGCTTTCCACATATTTCTAAATTATCCATCATCATTGCACAGTCTATGGATATGTTTTACTTAATATTTGCAACATCCTTAGAATCATTTTTTATCTTTGTTCTTTATCAAATATCAAACAAAGAAGAATGATGCATATAAGGTAGCTGCAAATGTTCAAATAAAACACACCTTACAACGATAGTATCAGCAACAGAACTGGAATACATTGATATACGTAGCACCTAGAACAAATAGGAAACATCGATATTCTTTTACAATTTGTCCGTTGTTTCGTATAGGACATACGAAATACAAACGGATAACATTCGATTAGAAAAAAGGACACCAAGTGGCGTACCTAAAATCTGTGTTCATCTGGTTGAAGTTCAGGATATTTAATCTTTCTGGTCTTCCCAGTCTTTTCATTTCTCACTTTCTCTCAACTGAACGTGTCCATTAACTCATTAGTCCTCATCCAAGCAACATTCATACATATACACATAAACTCTGAGCAACACTTACGTGTCACTCTAGGTACCGCATCCTTGATCACAGCTGAATTTCCCCGTGAGTGACGGCTGTCCACCCACTGTGGGACTTGGACGAGAATCGTTCCATGGTATGCACAACACTCCAATATGATGAATCCTCGGTTTTCCGCACATCATCCATCCGTGCCGCGCGGAGCAGAGGAATCCGTTCAAGATCGGAGACGTGCGTATTCCATAGAGGGGAGAGGGGGTGGAAGTTCTTTTCGCGGTTAGTCGGTTTTCTTTGCTCACTCGACACTGATCAAGAACGCTTGACTGAAACGTCAAATCTCGAGGGAGATCCGCGAAACGGGGAAATGGCGGGAGGAAAAGGCGCAGGAGAGCAATCTATGTAGAAGCGTAGAGAACGCGCGAGTAAACGCCGTACGTAGATTATGCGTGTTACAAAAAAAGGATACACCACAAGCCGCTGTCCCATGTCCTGGATAAAATTCGCCGCCTGCTGCCGATAGCTCAGCTCCTTGTCTCCGTCGATGCCGCATTTTCTGCTCGGCGTGTTGGCAAGCTGTTCTCTCGTAAAATACCATCTTTCGTCAGCCGCCATTTATATGTACACACAATCCACCCGTGAATCGTAAACGATATATACACTTGACGGGATCGCGTGGTACAGGCCCCAAAGGGGTTAGGAGGGGGGTGGGCCGAGAGGGCAAGGGCCGAGAAGTGAGCGGCAGTCGCGCGGCGCGCGCTGCAGTCACGTCCCACCGTCGCCACGGCCACGGCCACCGGCTGCTATCACGCCGTTCGCTCGCGAATAATCGAAAATGGCGTCGTGAGCGCAAGTGACGCAACGCGATGCGCCGCAGGGCGATGACGATGGCGATGTTACGCGCTCCGTGAGGAACGAACGTCGTTCTCGGCTCTCGCCACGCGAGATTCGCCCGGACGCCAGGCGATCCAGACGAAGCAGCGACTACCCTTTCTCTTCCGGTGACCGGCCGATCGCGCGGATGCGTTGGATTGGGGTCACCTGAAATAACGAGAGCGGCCGTGACAATCCGCCGCGAACTTGTTGCACCACTTTTTTGGGGCCGTTCCCCTCGCACCACGCTTGCGGAGAATCACGCGCAGCATCAAATCGCGACGTTCCGTTAACGTCGCCCAGGCACCGTCGTCCAACGTACATGTATAAGGGACGTCGGGTATTCTCGGCCGATTGTCATTCGCACGCGTGCGACGCGGCGCGATCGTACATGAGAATACGCTGTCATAACCTCCGCCGCGTCACGCTGCTGCTGCAGCAACGGCGGCGGCACATCGTCCCATCGCGGTCGGTCGACCGAAATGAATTTCCCCTCGGGGATCGCTCCCTTCGCGCGATGGTAACCTTTAAAACGACGCTAAGACAGCCGACGGTGCATCGGTCGCATCACACGTTGCGTAACATGCGTGGCGAATCGCGTCGCCGTATCACCTTCGTCTCTGTCCACCTTTGTCTCTGTCGTTTTTGTTTTCGTCGTCGTCGTCGTCGCTGTCGTCCTCGTCCTCGTCCTCGTCCTCCTTCACCCGCTCTTCCCACAGAGAATTCACCTCCCCGCGCGACCGTGCACCACCGCTCCGACGTTCGCCTCGCCTCCGAAGGCCAGCGCGACGGCGTCGCGTAAGCGCGCTTTAACGGCGTGTTCGTAGATACTTCCGCACGTGGTACGGTACGGAAAATTCCTAGAGTCACGCCGTGTTCATAGGGTCTGTTCCAAATTATGGCTCTCGCACGTTGAACGCGATGAGCGATATCCAATGAGAGCTTTGCTTTTTCAAACGTCACGGATGGATATCGTTCATCGCTCATCGCTCGTCGCGTTCAGTGTGCGAGAGCCATTACGCATAACGCGTACATACATACGCATGTGTAGAATGCATAGAAAGCCATTTAGATTATGTCAATGTGTGTATGGAAAATGTTTTAGCACGTGGTTCTAAGTCCTTGTGTCCACGATGCTTGAAATCGGTCCGAGATCTATCTTGGATAGAAAGAGAATTGACCAATCGCCAATGGTTAATTGGCCGAATTATTCAAACACAATTGGTCATTTCTCTTTCCATCCGAGATCTCGGATCGATTTCTAGCATTGTGGACACAAGCATAAGTTTGTAAAGTAAAAAGCACATGACACACGTGTCAAAAATATTTGCTAAAAAAAGTAGTGAAAATTAAATTCTAAAATAATATATGGGCAAAAAATTAATTTTTTTAATATTAAGAAGTATATTTTTTTATAATTTGAAATATTATTACTATTATATATATTTTTGTATATTTGTATAATGTGATTCGCGAAGAACATTTATGAATTGTACAAAGAATAAAAAAGTCGCAAAATTTAATTTGCTTGCATTTATCATGTTTATTACATTTAATTTGTTCTATGCGAAACTGAAATTTCTTGTAAATTTTTTTTATCACATTCATGAAGGAATTACAATAAAAGCATACCGCGTGTAAAAATCATACTTAAAATAATTGCTGACTTGACAAAAGCTTGAATTGAAATGTTAATTGGAGAAACTAATTTTTATTGATTTTCATATCTATAATTATTCATCAAAACAAATTTAATTCTTTTTGTAAAAAGAAAAGAAAGAATAAGATAGAAAGAAATTGTGCCGTATTAACATTTAAATTATTTATACAAAATATATATCTGAAATCAAGGATTTTTTAATTGGTCTAATCAATAATTTTTTTCTTACCTTTAAGAGAAAATGTAAACAACTTGTCTTAATGTAAACAACACACAAAAAAAATTAATACAAAAATCTTTTTAGTACTTTAACGTCAGAGAGGACTATCTATCAGACATATGAAGTATATACCCATGAGTGCAACTCTTCGTCAGTGCCTTTGGGCTGCGTATTGAATTGTCAAATGAATTGCGCATGCGTAGCGAGGTACATAACCAATGAGAGCATGATATTTTGTCTCACTTTCCTTTCTATTATAACTTTATTTCTCTTTCTAACTTACAGTGACATTTTAGAATAGAAATATATATAGGCGGGTGACACCACGTTTGACCACGTCCCGATTGATACTAGCCACTTACAGAGGCTGGCGCCTAGAATTTTTCCACTGTTCAAGCGCTGTGACTGGCTAGTGGTCAATTAGGACATGGTCAAACGGGTATCATTCTACATAGGCACATGAGATTTATTTCTTGATATTTATTGCATTATATATTCTTTAATTAAATATACGTACAGAAATAAAGTACAAATAAATTTTATCAATTTATATCGCTGTATTATATTATATACTAAATACTAAATGTAATTTGTCGGTAGAATTTTGAAACGTAATTCTGAAATTTCACTATTTTGTAGCCAATCAACACGTTCAAGAAATTTGTATATATATATATATAAGGGAAATGTTAACCGAATATCGTCTCAACAATTCGTTGATTATTATTCGTCGATCTTTCCTATTTCTTCTTTATTATAACCAGACGTTTTTATATTTATAGGAGCAAATATCTGTTATTATCAGAGCAAACTCAATTATCTAGTGACTGTGTATTGTCTCATCTTAAGGTTATCCTGCTGCATGGTAAATCTTTCGCTTTTATTTATTATCAAATTTATCAAAATTAATTTATCGGATAAGATGGAAAAACGTTTGTTATTATATTTATATATAATTTTTTATGACAATCAGAAGTATAAAATTGTATTTTTTCAAATCTTCATAAATCTTTTCTTCTGTCAAGCAAGAAACTTGCTTATTTTTATAATACTATTCCTATGTGTATATTTTCCTTTTCAAAAAATCTGCTGAGAAATATACTTATTAATCATCTGGCATTTGAGTTTTATATTACTTTTTTTTAATTGTTTTAAAGACTTATTTTGAGTTTATTATTTATTTTTTATTAGAAGCAAGGCATGTTCCGGATACCAAAGTCTACAATGCCTACATCCACTATAACAACGATTGCAAAACGTCCCAAACAGATGCAAAGCTGTCTATATACTTCATATGAATGCACACAACCTTGTCTGGAAGGATATTCATATTGTGTTAAGCATATTCTCGAAGATTCTAATGCACCTTATAAGCAATGTGCTTTTGTATATAATACTAATGGGAGAAAATGTCAAAATCCAGCCCCAAAATCAGACAGGAGAGATGTCTCGTGAATATATTTTCTTGTTATATCTAAAATTATAAATCTATTTTTTTAAATAAAATTATACATTTTTATCTCTTGTAGATATTGCAGCGAACATTCTAGAAAAGCACAAATTGCTCGAATCAAATCAACATCACGACGTTCCTTACCGGAAACACCTGAGATGCTGTTACTTAACTTGAGTCATTATGTCAAACCTGCTGACACTAGTACTGAAGATATGGAAGGGGAGAAAGGAAGAGTAAAAGCTTTAGATCCTTTCAGTGAGCATTATAATCACATTCTAATCACTTCTAATATTCTAATATTAGGTTTCTTCTACAATATTTAATTTCTTTGAATATTATTCTGTTAGAGATTGCATTAATGTTTTTATTTTTAATAAGAAATTTTTTTATATAAGTCTTGAATTTAAATTTTGATCTGAATAATAAGTTTTTTGCATGGAAATGTATATATCTTATATATCTTATAATTTTTATTCTGACGAATGTTATTACAAATAGAAGCATCAACAAGTTATTATTTTCAGCCGAAGTTGATGCTTACAGAGTAAATGCGAGTGGAAGTGATATCTTAGACTACGCTAGTTCGTCAGAGAGTGATGTTGAGCCTACAGTTGTCACTGACACTCTGAGGGGAGTTTATCTCGATGATAGTGACAATGAGAGTTTACACAGTCCACAGGAGGATCCCTTAAAGTAAGTGTGTTTTGAAACTGCATTGCGTGTGTGTTATTTTGAGAATTATCTTATTGCATTAGAATATCTGCTAGCATGCTTCAGCTTGTGCAACTTGTTTAAGAAAACATCAATATCAGAACTGATTTTGTAAATCTTAATAGTTATGGTGACATTAAATTAATTTATTTTTACTAATGTAAATTAATCTTAATTTCTATATTTTTTTAATTCTTAGAGCTTAAAGAAGATAAAAACTGCTAATAGATTAAATTTCTCGCATTAAAATTAATAATCTATATTAATAGAAATGTATACAAATGTGTCTTCATTAAATGTTAATGACATCTTTTTTCTCCTTTTTAAATCTAAACAATTAAAATTTTGGTTTTATTCTTTTGTAACAGGAAATTTTCGCATTGTTACGTCCTGTGTCGGATTTTCACACCTTTCATACTTTTCCTTTCAAGAAAGAGTACATATTTATTTTAATATAATTTTATTGTAGTTGCTTTGTGCAAAAAAAAAAGAAAAAGACACTACTTACTCTCCAAATTATTAGTATTAATTTTTTAAGGCATGCTGGCATCTTCACCGCGGAAGAGGTGATTTATATCGCAAGAGAAAAACTGATTAGACTTCAGTCTCTTTATATCGATCAATTTAGAAGGCTGCAGTATGTACTACGGGAGAAAAGACGGAAATATTTGCTCGCTCTAAAGAAAGAAAAGGAAACATTATGTAAATACATCTATATTATATTATATCTATATTATAAATAATAAATTTTAGAATTTTGTTATATTTTTTGATAAATTTTATATAGGTAGCATACATGATCAGACTAAGGAAACTGCAAAGGAGAAAAAGCTCTACGAGAAATTGAAAGCTTTAAATCGCTATCATAGACGGAGTGGCGTTGAAGCGATACTTTATAGGAAGTCATTAGAACGTCGCGCACAGGTATTATCTCTGCTATTTATAGATGATATTTACAGGTGTTTTTTACAGGTGATATTTACAGATGTTTTTTATAAGTGATTTTTGCTATAATTAAATACATATCTAGTTGCATTACAAAAGGAAGTTACGTTTTTCAGGTAACCGAGCCACTTCAAAAACCACCTAACGTGTCTAAATGTGTGTTCACTGAAGGTGGTGTGAAATGTGGTGAAAGAACACTCCCGTCAGCTAAGCATTGTCGTAAACATATTCTAAAGGTGTATATTTATATTATATTATTTTATATACATATATACATATACATATAAAGAAATATAATTTTAATAAATCTCAAATCTCTGCGAATCTTATTTTCTCGATCGGTACTGTTCGCAGGATCAACATCAAGTTTTGTTTAAAGCATGCGGAGCAGTACGAGCGGATATCGAATGTCACGAACCTGTGCCCGTAATTTTCGATTCCAATTGTGTATTTCACATGAATTTGCCGCCGCCGTGCAAATTAGAGTCTATGAAGGTATGATAGCGTTTTCCTTATAACTTCTTTGAGATTGACCATTCTTGTTCTGTAACCATTCTTCTTGTTCTGTGACCATTCTTATGTTCATTTCTATAGTTTGAGGAGGAGAAACCCGTAAAACAAGAGATGTTGATGACCGACAATCAATCAATGGAGATTGATGTGGTAGGCGAGACGCAAGAGATTGATCCCGACGATGATATGGCGGGATTAATGAGAGAAATGAATGATTCCGCTAATTTAAAACCTTCGTTTGCGAATGAGAGTTTGAATAGTGAAACCAGCACAGATACAGCATTCAGTTTATCGGCGCAGATGAGCGATCGAGATGACTTCGTTACCGTATGACCAAATATTCTTACGTGATTTTCCCCTTGAAATATCGATACTACTTTGCCGTCGTGATTGATAAGAATGTCATAGTGTACTATGCTTTCTGTCTAATATTTCCTGTTAGAACAAAAATTTTTTAGCTTGGTTAAAAAATGAGCGAGTGATTACATGCAATGATTTTATCGTCGTTTAATCTGTCTAAATCAAATAGTTAAGATATTTGTATATAATTTAAAAAATAGATCACACATATAAGAGAGATTGCTTAATTGCTGAATCTTATTTAATTATTTTATTAGTTTTGAAATTATCGATATTAAATTTTATTTTATAAGAAGCTTTAATGCTCCGTAAAATACGTATTTAATTCTAAGAAATAAACACAAAATTATTTTTATAATTTTATTATTAATATTTATTTAAATTACAAAGCAAAATGAACTTTTTGTTTTCTATTGGTGGGTTTTCTCAATGATTTCCGCCATGCGAGATATTTTTACGAGTGATGTGAATATGCGGGTATCCGAATTTAAGATACTCTAATCGGATACTCTACTATCTCAGATAGTACTTGAACACCCAGTAAAGTGCCACATTCGATATCAAATAAAAAAAATCATCTAAATAATTCTTTTATCTTAATCAAATAGAATGCAACATATTTTATTTTAGCTACTTATATTATCTCAGTAGCAATTTAAATATTCAGTCAATGGAGAAAAGTATGATTTTACAAGAACGTAACACTTTACATTTTTACAGTTTCTATAAAAATAACCAAAATCGTACATGGGTACGTTGATGATTACATAATATTAATACATAATTATATATTATATATTTATATACAAACAAAAAAGAGGAACTTAGACATATAATATGGATGGAATTAAATTTTTGACAGAATAACAATAATTTCTGAAAAGTCAATATATACATAATTTTTGTTATAGCTATAGTTGTTTACAGTACATTTAAGTGCAACAAATACATAAATCACCTTAATAATCATGAAATAAAAATTCAAATTCTTGATATTTCAGTACAGTGTATATAAAATTCTTAAACTTATTACTATTATTATTATTATTATTATTACATTAATATTATCAATATTATTAATATTTGGTGAAAATAAACACTCACATGTATTGTAAACGCAAATACAAGTTTCAAATATTGTCATGTCATGATATTTCTTCTAAGTCATCGATATGCCAGATAATCTTTACGATTATGTAGCTCACTTTTCTTTCTTGTAAAAAGAGATAATAAGATGATAAAAAAAGTAACATCACATTTTTTATTATGATGAATTTGTTTAAATTATTAAAATTACGATAATATTAAGAGATAATGTGATGCACATTTATAATAAAATAACATTAATTCGAAAGAAATTGATTATGCAAAATTATCATAAATTCGTTGCAAATAAAAGTATTTAAATGAACGATAAAATAAATTATATCATTTCATCATTTTAGTTGACTAATTGGATTAAATACCTTTGTATTACATGTATAATGTATAATGTATTATTTGTACAGAACTTATATAAAATTAAGCTTTCATTCGTAAAACAATACTGTACATAATATTCTGATAACAATATATATCTAATAGTAACAAATGTGAATTAATTGACGTCATTGAATCTGCTCATTAATCTTGTGAAAAAAAAATTTTGCTATTTGTTGCTTCAAGATTATTCATCAATATTCATATCTCTTGAAAATTATTATGTAATTACTAGATAATCACATATTTATCTGATGAGAAATTAAGTTTACTTATTCGATACGAGTATTTTTGAATTGACCATAAAAAGAGTACAGTAGAAATATCTTGAATAAAATTGGTTCAGAAATAATTGATATTTTAATTTGATCGTTTGACAATTCAATTATTGATACTCTGTCTAATGATGAAAATCCTATTTTTTCGGAGTTCAACAGTTTTTTCGTTCCTCTAAAGTACTTTCACCGGCAATCCTAGCTCGGATATTGTCGTTTTATCTAAATTGCAATCTAATTTGTGTAATCTTCCCATTACGTTTTTAACGCACGAAATAATTATTATTATAATAATTATTTCAGAAAGAGATCAATTTACTTTCGTTGAATGCCAAGAGACTGCTAAGTATTAAGATTAAACACAAAGAAGTACACAATAACCCGAACGTAATAGGAAGAGATTTTGTTTGTAATATCAATGCAAGAGCAATTATTTATAAACTTAGTTGTCAAAAATGTGTTTAAGATCATGCTCGTAGGCGGCGATAAGTAACATAATCCCGAGGCCTGTGGTTAAACCCAAACCTTGCCAAATGCACTGCCATCGTGAACCGCTTTCCGCAGAATGATTCGACGATAATTCTGGTATCTAAGAAGAAGGAGGTAATTAGTGTTTAACAGTTTTTATGTTTTACAATGTGTAAATATAGCTTTCGTAGATCAATGCATACCAACCATGTCTACTAATGCTATATATATAAATATTCCAGCAGCACCTGCGAATACCCAGCTGGTCGCATCGGGAGTGCTACCTAACAGTATTCCACCTATCATACCTAACAGACAGAGCACTGAAGATAACACGTTGTAAAAAACAGCTTGTTTGGTACTCATGCCTGCTTTTAATAACACCGCAAAGTCGCCTGTATAAAAATATTTATATTATCATATCGCTGATTATATATGAATATGTTTATAGATACACTGTCATAGATTGTGAAAATAGTACCGAGTTCGTGAGGCAACTCATGACAGAGAACAGCAATAGCTGTGGAGAATCCGCCTGCGATGTTTGCCGAAAAAGCAGCTCCGATGGCCATACCGTCTGTAAAATTGTGCAAACCATCTCCCATTACGACCATCCAAGCTACACTGGACATAGACTCTGGGGCTGAGTGTACATGACCTAGATTTAGAACATTCACATTAGATTATCCAACACAGTACAGAGATTACATAGTATTTTTTATCTTATCTTATTTAAAGTATACCATGAGAATGACTGTGGCCGTGATGTTTGGTCTCATGTTCGCGTATAATAACGGTATAGCCTTCCGATTCGTTCAATGATACATCGGCACCATCAGCATTTTTCTTAGCGTTATTCACGATCGAATCGTCCATTCTCCAATCGTCCGTTGGTTTCTTCTCCATGTCACCATGTTCCGTCACGATTTTCGTGACGGAATTGCAGTTGGACGTCAATGGTTTCTCCTCCTCGATGATGGGTGGTCTCTCGTGATGATTGTTTCGGCGATTGTGATGGTTATCTGTGTACATTTCTTCATTGATTTTTCTCGCATGTTGAGACAGGTTACGATAAGTTATCTTGTCTCAATCGGAGTGCAATGGCCCGAGAGCAAAATGCATTACTCGACACAAATAGCATCTGTTACCTTGAGTTTCGCTGGCAATCTCGCCGTAACAATACGGGTACGAAGAGTACTTGTGTTTACACAGCTTTTCGCCAACAACATTGCTATTTGGCCCATCACTTTCTCTCATCACTCTCACGCGCGTAGGCATCTACCAATTTTTATCAATTTATAGGATAATGCAATTATATAACAGAGCAACCTTGATATTTTTACCTTCTTTCGATGCTGCCAGTGTTTTCGCCATTCGGATATCAGATTTAACGCCTTTTCAGTGAAAAAGAATAGCACGAAACCCATCATAGCGACTAATCCTTTCCACATATTCATATTATGTAGGTTCACATGATCAATTTGTAATGCATCGCTTTCGTCGTGATGATGCTCATGTTCTTGATGCTCGTCGTGTTCGTGAAGGTGAGGCGGCATCATCGCCTGAAAACGTGAGAGAATTACATTAAAATATCATTCCCTCGCGAACACGTAGAGTATATTGATGATAAAATAAAGAAAAAAACTTGCGTGTGGTAACAGATGAATCAAGGCATCACCGGTTAAAGTACCTACGGCCAAGGCAACTAGAAACTGTAGCACGTGATGATAATAATTTTTTCCCATGATCGGAATCACTGCTACGCCGAGCAGCCCGCTAAGGCTAATTATGAAAATACTAACTGTTGAATATACCCAAACTGGAATGAATAAAAATGACATTTTCTTTTTAGTTGTCTTTCTTCAACGAGGCCCAACATGTATTTTTAAAGATTCATTGCGTTTCGCTCGTTTTATATTTGTACTAATACCTTTTACAGTGTTGCGCACCGAGTCCTCCGCTTGTGTGTAAAGTTTGTCGACCGGCACGACAGGTTTGTAATTCTCGGGTACTCGTATACAGCCATTTCTTTCCGAACTGGATTCGGCTGCTAATTGGTAGACAAGAACCGGACACACGCGTTCAAAAAGCCAGCTGGGCAACGTCGTCGCATTATTGCTAGAACTGTAGTGTGCATCTTGGGCGACGGTGCTCAGCAACTCTTGACTATTTAAGCACTGAGATAGAAAAAGTTACGAGTTACGAATAGGTACAACTATTTTAAAGAAAAATTCGAGAATTGGATTATTCTGATCTCACCCTTTCTTTATTATTTTTACTATCTGCGTCATGTAGGCCTTTATTTGAAAAATTCTTACCACTACCTGTAACATGCAAAGTTGATTTTTTCATTAAGTTCACTGATCCTTTAAGTATCAGCGCTCATATAATATATAATCGATCTTTCATACTTCTGTCAGTATCACCGCTTTGCACATCCGATTCATCAGTCAATAATCTTAATAGACCCAGCTTTCGAACAAGTTTCTCGAAACCTTCCATAGTTATACTCGTTCCGTCACCGTAGGCTTCAAAAATCTTTTGCATAAAGTACTTCTCATCCACATCTCTCTTTAATCTAGATTTATTAACGGTGCGTAAATCATCACTGGACAATCTGGACCTCTGCTTGATGCTTGGCAGCATCTCCGTTTGAGCAAGACGCTCCAGAAGCTCGGCGTCCCTCGAATTTACAGATATATCCGCGCTTGTAATTGACGGCCGCGTGTCTTGCGGATTCCCACCGCCTTTGAAGTTTTCCATCATTTCCCTCTTAAGATAAGCATCGGACGATGCAGTCGATGTTGCGTTAACGGTTATCAAGGTATTGTTGTTATTACTGTCAACGCGTTGCATACGAGATCTTACGGCATCGCGTTTATTGCTAGTTAAGTTATTCGGATTGGATCTCTGTTGGCTCTTCGAATACGGATGCATATCTTTGGATCGTACAGGCGACCAGAACTGTTGACTTTGCGTGTTCAGGGTCGTGTGGTTTTTGATGCCCGTTGAATCGCCCGGCGCCGTCGTCGATGAATTTGTGTGCGCCGAGCAGGGTACATGTGCAGCGCATAGTACACAGACCACGCAAACGGTAACGATATGATGTGACATGGTGAACTTCCTGAAAGAGCAGAAGACACTCATCAGAACGTACAGCGCGAACATCTCGCTCGTCGAGTCGAAACAATTCGTAGACACGTGAAAATTTTGATACGCGCGCGCGTATCAACTGCGCAAACCTACTGGAAAACTAATTATATATATTTATTAGTCCTACAACGTGTAGCGCAGGAAGCAATTATCTGTACAAGTTCCATGATAATGTCAAGTGTAACCAGATAATGCGACTCGGACGATCAAATAATAATAGCGATAACAGCATTTTAATATTTCTCTATTTCCTCGTAGAAATATCTTCCGACATTCTTATCGTGCGCAATGTTTATTTCATTCTCGTAATTATTGACAAATTATGATGATAGTAAATACGTTAATTATTGTGAAATTATAGCGATGTGTGCGAAAGAGTCGCGGACCATCTGGCGCGGGACGCGACTTTGTCTACTCACATGATGATCCTACTTATGAATCGCGATAGCCTCATCCCGATTTAAATGTGCTTACGACAGTGTCTTGCAAGCGTTCAGGATCTGACAGGGCTGTCTTTACAAACGGCGAACGTTTATAAGACAGCACTCAAAATAAATTATTTAGAAAATTGCGCGGCCTTCGCTTTCGTTACGTTTCGGTGAGTCGCATTAATAATCCATGCGATAAAAGTAAATTATTACAAGGTCCGTGGAGAAGAAAAATGCAAGAAAAATACGCGCCGGACAAGAATGGCATGTAAAAAAAAAACTCTTGGGAGAGAAAAAAAAGAATTTTTTTTTTTCAAGTGTTGTTTCTTTGAAATCGCCAGATTATGAGCGAGCGCAATTTGAGGCGCGCTGCTTGTCGAACGGATGTCTGTCGCGTTTATTGATATAAGTAATCTGCAGTCTAAGTCTGGACACATAGGCCCGTTCGCGACATCTTATGCAATCTGTGCCGCCTGACTCATTCTTCTGCCACATGTGAATATATCTCTATATCTAATCTATATTAAAAGCGTACTCCCGTGCGCGCATCACAATAAGACTACGTAGTTGGATCCCGGCTAAATATAAAGTAACGATTAACTTCCCCATGAGATGACGAGCCGTTCGGCATTAAAGAGCGCGAAAGAGATTAAAATAAAACTGATACGTGTGCGCGCGCGCGCGCGCGCCACGTACGTCTGTACGTGGCGTTTCTCGCGCTGCGCGATGCTTCTGTAAAAGGACCGAGGTGACACGCGGATTGTTCCATCAGAAATCCGAAAACGGCTCGGTCGCGTCCTACGCATGGAAGGATTTCGTCCATCTCCATCTCGCTCGATCTAACGTTGTCGCAAATAAATTGACTTATTTACGGCAATTTCCTCCTCTTCCTCCTCCCCGTGTTGTATTCTGACGTGTTATCTTAGGATTCTTGATTAACAGGCTGTTCGAGGAGCTTCGCTTGACTTGAGCCCATTTAAAAATCGTGAGAAATTAATCGACTTGTTTGTACGATACTGCCTTCTTAAATCCGATGTTATCTTAGGAATTTTCGGTTTGTGGAAAATTTTTCGCTCCGGATCGATTCGGAAACGCGGAATGCTACCGTCGTTTCCTCCCGTGACACGTGTTTCGAATTTATCTTTGGAACTCTCGGTTTCTTCGCTCTTTAAAAGACGACGTGGAAAAACTCCAATCTCGAGTCCACCTGAAAAACGCGGGAATTTAAGTTTCCGAGTACCGGTGGCACGTATCAGTGGGTGAAGTAAACGGCGTTGCTGTAATCGGCTTTACTTCGCATGAAGTACGGAGGGTTTATCGGTTCCCGTGAGTCGCGGGCGATATGACGCCGATAACACGTCGGCGAAAATAAATCGATACCCGATCTCCCGGTATGCGGTCATTCGCTTGTCCGTTCGTTCATGTTTTGCGAGCGATTTGACACCGGCGCGCGGTGTTCACTCGCACTTTTTCCTCTCTCCTTTTTTCCCCTCTCTCGACGATATACACGCGTGTACTCGGCCATAATGCACGGCAGACAGTACACACGCGCTGCCACCTGATTCTCCGCGTGCGTTCGCAACGCAAATCACACGATCGGTATAAACAATGAAGCTAGACGCGCATCGACGCGAGATCTCGATCGAGACGCCGGGCTGCCGGGCTGCCGGGCGCCCCTCGCTTTTTGCCGCGCGACTCCTTTTCGCACAAGAAAAAAAAAAAGAAAAGAAATAAATCACGCGAAGGATATCCCCGCGACGGTGAGGAGGGGGCCTTCGCGAACACGGAAGGAATTGTGATTTACGACCGGCGCCGAAATAGCCGCGCCGCCAGCCTCCCCGTCAAAAACTGTATTTTTAGCTGTCAAAAAAATCCGAGGCAAGAGCCAAGGAAGAGGGGAAGGGGAAAGGACGAGGGATCAGCGTGCACGAGAGATCTCGTCGCCGTCCTACCTCGTCGTCCTCTTCTCCTTCTCCTCCTCGCTCCCGTCTTTCGTCGTGGCTGGATAGTATTCTGGATTTAGGTTAGAACGACCCAGGGTGCCCAGGCTCTCGCGGCGAGGTCGCCGGGGATCCGTGCTGTCGCTCGATCGAGGCTGCCCGGTGACTCCGCCATCGAGTGCCGACGCACATCGCGAACGGTGACAGCGACGGATCGTCGACGACAATATGAACGACGACGCGAGTAAAACAACGTCGCGAATCACGATCGAGGGACGCGCGCTCTCCTTCTCTCTCTTTCTCTCTCTCTCTCTTTTTCTCACCCGGCTTGCGTGTCCGCGCGTACGACACGAAGGTGTCGCGTGGAGAGCCGTGCGTGGCCGGTGCGTGTGCCGTCCCCTTTCTTTCCCGCTTCCTTCCCTACCCTTCCCCTTCCTTCCTTTCTCGTCTCTCGCCTCTTCTCTATGGCCGGCCGCTTCTTCGCACCTTCCTTCTCTCTCTCCCCCGTCTCTGTCTGCGCTCCGCAACAAACTGCGTCGCGCGCCCCACAAGCAACAAGTACGGTACGCTCTGAACGTAGCGCAGGAAGATAACGGCGCGGCGCGAACGATAGACTTAGGTAGACTGGCGGCCGGGCCGGCCGGTCATCTCGCCGCGCAGCGCTGACGCTCTTCTATTCGCACGCACATTTACGCGCGTACGCGTCGGCATAAGGATGCCGTCACATGCGGCGTAACTTGCGTAAGCGTAATCTGCGTATTCTAGTATTTTATTAAAACACGCGTTACGCCATTCTGAAAAATCTTCTTTCACATAGAACGTATTTCGCGGAATTTCGAGAGATGCATAATTAATGCAACCAATTGCTGATTAGGGTTTCTGTTGTACTCTCTAACAGAAATGCTAAACTAATTTGTGATTGGTTTTTGTAATCTGCGCATCTGGAAAAGTACGTTTCATGGGGAACCAGACTTTATATACGGTATGTGTACGAACAAATCAAGTAGATGTGAATCTAATTCTGTGAGAATGTATTCAGAAGTCATTATGGACCCTGACCTGTTGTTATTAATAATATGAAAGCGATGGCAAAAGTGGAAGAAGATAAAACAATCTCAACAACAGAAAATTAGACGATATAATATTTTAAAATTGTT